TTCTGGTTATTTACCAAAAGACCAAAGTCTCTAATTCAAAAAGATATATGCATCCCTATGGTTACTGCAGCATTATTTATAATAGCTGAGATATGCAAGTAACCTAAATGTCCATTAATAGAAGAAAATGGGGTACATATACAATGGAATATTACTAGGTGATAAAAAAGAAAGAGATACTGGCATTTGAACAACATGGATGGACCTAGAGTGCATAATGTCAAGTGAAGTAAATCAGACAGAGAAAAAAGAGGGAAGGAGGGAGGGAGGGAGGGAGGGAGGGAGGAAAGAAGGGATATGAACAAACAAAACAGAAATAGACTCAAACACAGAGAAAAGACTAGTAGTTGCCACAGGAGTAGGAGTGATGGGGAGATGGGCAAAACAGGTGAGAGATGAAGAGATACAAACTTCTACTTATAAAATAAATTAGTCAAGGTGATGAAGAGTACAGCACAAGGACCATAATCAATAACATTGTAATATCTTTGTACAGTGACAGATGGTAACTATACTTACCATGATGAGCATTTTATATATATATATAATTGTCAAGTTACTATTTTGTACACCTGAAACCAATATAATATTGTATATCAACTATATTGCAATAAAGAATAAAAACAAAATAAAATATGAATATTAACTTTCCAATAAAAAATTAACATAAAAAATTGGTAGCATTTTCTTGCTGTAGCAATTATCTGAAAAATGAAGGAAACAATCCCATTTACAATAGCATCAGAAACAACAAAATATTTAGGAATAAATCTAACCAAGGGAGTGAAAGATTTCTCTACTGAATACTACAAAACACTGATGAAAGAAAATAAACAAGGTATAAATAAATGGAAAAGTACCACGTTCTCACAATTGGAAGAATGACTAAAGTTAAAATATCAATGCTACTAAAAGCCATCTATAGATTCAATGCGATCCCTATCAAGATTGCAATGGCATTTTTTTTTTTGAGAGGGCATCTCTCATATTTATTGATCAAATGGTTGTTAACAACAATAAAATTCTGTATAGGGGGGTCAATGCTCAATGCACAATCATTAATCCACCTCAAGCCTAATTCTCGTTAGTCTCCAATCTTCTGAAGCATAACGAACAAGTTCTTACATGGTGAACGAATTCTTACATAGTGAATAAGTTCTTACATGGTGAACAGTACAAGGGCATTCATCATAGAAACTTTCGGTTTTGATCACGCATTATGAATTATAAACAATCAGGTCAAATATGAATATTCGTTTGATTTTTATACTTGATTTATATGTGGATCCCACATTT